AAAAAAAATTCGAATGAGAATCATGTTCCTAGCGGGAGCAACGATACAGCCTGGACTAATACTTATACATATTATAAAACATACCTACAATATAATATACAAAAAAATATAATAACATAATATATAGTATTAAAAATATAATCATTACAGATTTCTCCATTATTATAAGTTTATTTTTTGAATATTCCTAAAATTTTGGTTTATAGTTTATAACGTATAATAAATTCTAACCCTTAAATATAACCTAAGTACAAATTCTTTCGGAAAAGAATGACACGGATGACTAAATGGTAGTCTTTTAATTAAAGAAATGTGCTACAAGTGTTATTTTTGTGGATAATTGTTCAAAATTATCTTGAAATATCTTTTCAGTGTTACAAATGAGCTCAACAAAGTTATCGTTTGGCATTTGCAATTGTCCAAATAAGGTATCTTCATTTTCATTATTATATAAAATAAAAATAAATCAACGAAATTATACCCACGCCTATGATTGCATTCTTACTACCTGTTGTCGCTACTCGCCTGAACGAACGCCAAAGCCGTCTTTTCCGCTGGAAGGCGGGGCATAAACGCTGCACGACGAAATCGACGCCAACCGTTCCCGCCAAGACAGTTGGGGAGCTGTATAAGCCGTGGTTCAGCTCTCTTTGACGGTGATCATATACTCCAGGAAAACAAAGAAAAATGAGCGAACTTTTTTTCTCTGAATTTTTTTTACATTAAAATGTAGATTTTGGGATGAGAAAACGTGTCACACACGCAACCACCAACAACATAAGTACAGCGTTTTGAGCTATAAACATATACAGGGTGTTGCAAAATGTTGTTTAGAGTATTCTAGAGCAGTTTCTACATCCAAAAATTAAAAAAATCCTATAAACGTAGGACCGCAAATGCTTCGTTTTCGAAATCGAGGGTGTCAAAAATAAAATGTTTTTTATAATTTTTCATTGGAAATCGTTTAAATTTGGATCATTTATTTCTCCATAGTGACAGCGCATGTTATTTTTCAGTGACAGTCACCTACTATGTTTTTTTAGTCGGTAATGGTTTCATGATTTTTTAAAATCTTCAATAGCTCAAAAGCGTCTCGTTAAATGACAAATATGCAAGGGGGCCTTGTTGCTCTAAACTAAATGAGGTTCCTAAACTTAAAGTAGAAACCAGTTGCGTATGTTTTCTAGTCAAAAATCAATAGGTACTCCCCCATATCTTCGCCCCTGATGGGTCTGAAATGCAATCGATTATACCAAATTATAACCGTGTCATAAATGTATTGACCCAAATTTAAACGACTTCCAATGAAAAATGTAGAAATTATCAATAAAAAACGTTTTTTATTTTTTTTTCGACACCTAGTTCGAAATTGAAGCATTTGCGGTTACCCACCCTAGTATATAGTAATTTTTTCATATTTTTGGATGTAGAATCTGCTCTAGAATTCTCTGAACAACATTTTGCAACACCCTGTATATGATTTTTTGCGTTTTTGACCAAAAACTATCTCAATCAAGATGCATTTTTTCAATTAAAAATTGTTCAAAATTAAATTTCCTACATGGTCCTATAAAAAATTCCAATTTTCTCAATAGTTTTCACATATTTTATTTTAAATGAAGCACATATGTGAAAATTAATGTTTTGAGCCAAAATAACGGTCAATTTATTTTTAAATAATAAAACTGAATTAGAGAAAAGACAATTGTGGAAAATTTTTGGAAAATCTTATACAGGGTGTCCCTAAATTAATGCAACAAAATTTGGTCGCAGATACTTAACACAAATTTCGAGGACCCGTATTTTTTATTTTTGCCAAATGTCCCCCTAAGAATAATCTTTTTTTTTATATCTCAGAACCCTGTTGTACGAGAATCACTAAATTTGGTACACAGGGGTTTTATAACATGTGGAATCTGATGGTACGTTTTTTGGCGGGGAACCCCCTTAAGACAATTTTTCGTGGGCCCTCGTCTTTGGAAACAAAAAAATTTGGTCGCATATTTAAATTTCTTAAAAATTATTGGTCCACTAGAAAGCCATTAAATTTAGAAACTTTTTGTTTCTTTATACTTTTTTCGTAAAAAGCAATGTTTTCGAGGAAAATGTCAAAATGTGAACGAATGCATATCGTGATTCGCCATTTTCCTCAAAAACATTGCGTTTTACGAAAAAAATATCAAGGGACAAAAAAGTTTCTAAATTCAATGGCTTTAGCTAATAATTTTTAAAAATATCAAATTTGCAACCAAATTTTTCTGGTTCCAAAGACAAGGGGACTAACGAAAAAGTGTCTTAAGGGGGTTTCTCGCCAAAAAGCGTAACACTGTGAGATTCCACGTGTCATAAAACCCCCGTTTACCAAATTTGGTGATTCTCGTACAACATGGTTTTGAGATATAAAAAATACTTCTAAGGGGCAGATTTTAGGGGGCTGTAACTCCGAAAGAGGGGGCCAGTTGGCAAAAATAAAAAATACGGGTCCCCTAAATTTGTCTTAAGAATTTGTGACCAAACTTTGTTGCATGAATTTCGGGACACCCTGTATGTATAGTTTTCCGAGGTTTTAATATTTATGAGTATCAAACTCATAATTTTATAGATTTTCTTGTAGTTATTTAAAAAAAAAAAAATACGACTAATTTTTGCAGATTTATTAATATACGAATTATGCATTTACATTTTTGAGACTACAACTACAATTATTTAATTTTAAAACCTAAATGCTAGCAAAGCAATACCTTTTCAATGACAATGTGGCTGCCAAATGAAACAAAAATTGCCACAAGTTTAAATGCATTTAAATCTAAATATTTTTTTAGTAACAAATAAATTTTATTTCCTAGCTAGAGGAGTACTATGAAAGCTTATGAATGTACGAGATGCAAGCAAATATTCTGACCATATAAATGTTTTTTTTCTTTTTGGATGTGATAGAAAAAAAATATTATTATTAGGTCTAAAGACTTAATCGCTAATGGATAAAAATAATATCAAAATTTTTTTAACATATACTTATCTAACTATGTAGTAGTTTTTCATCTTTAAAAACAACGTTAAAAACAGTCGATTCAACTTGAGTAGAAATAAAAAAGAAGATAATATTCAGTCTGAGCGATGGCAGTAACGTTAAAGCAATATTCTTTATGAAACAAACCTTATTTTTTCTCAAATTCTTGCTCGTCCGCTGCCAGTTTTGTAGAGATGTGAAAATGATCAGAATGGACGGACGGTAATCCAGCTGCGTGCATGCCTTGAAAAATTTGAAAAAGTAATTTTTTTTGTTACGTTTCTTTGTGCACTTACCTGAACTGTCCATTATCATGTAGTCGCAAGTTGCAGCCTGATCTGGTCCCACGTAGTACCTGCTTGTCTTGGGTATATCTAAAAATCCAACAAATAAACATTAAAAAACAAATATTTTGTTTCTATTAGTAGCCGTTACATGATTTTCTTCAATTTAATTGTTTTTATTTTATACAGTGTGTAATAGGTTTTATTTTGATAATAATTTCGGGAGACACAATGAGAATAATTTTTGTTTTTTTGTAATACGGGGTGTTTTTTTTTATTTATTTTTATTTGTTCTATTGTTCCCAAAGTTATCGAAATAACATCAGTTACACCCTCTATAACTGTATAATGGAAAAGAAGGAAATTGGACTTTCAAATACCATGAAACTCCATTATTTGGAACGATGGCGAATCGACATCAATTATTTCAATGAATCTTTTATAATCGACTTTGTCTTCTACAATAACACCCAGGATCCTCATAAGGGATTCGATGTCTTCCTTAGGGAACGTGAGTTTGTGACACATACACAGTTCGAAAAACGTGTCAACTGGCAACCATCCGGTTTCCTCCTACAAAAAATTCTCGTCGAATGCTATTTCTATACAGGCCGAGTCAGGAGGAATCCCCCAAATTCTAGGAGCGTATTCTACACTTAATAATAATAAAAAAAACTCAAATTCTTATTATTTTTTTCAACTTAAGCATAACAAAATTTATAAACAATTAAATTAATAGTGAGTATACAATATTTTTGCTACCGTTTTATTAATTTAAGACAGTCATTTTGTTACGGCTTTTAACTTCAAAACAAATAAAAATCGGAAAGGACTCGAGCTTTTAAACTATTTTTTCGCGTTGAATGTATACACCTAGAGCTTGAAGCGTTTCTCCCGTCTCACCCTGCATATTCAAAAATTTTACTTTGTCAAAATGTTGGGCTTTGTCACAGAAATCGTTGAATTGAAAATCCTCATCGCTTCTGTGCTTCAACAACAATTTTAAATCGTTCAAGGACCCTAGCCACTTGTAGAAGTCTTGTTTAAACAAACATGAAGACTGATTCGAGTCAGTTATCAAATCGGAAGTGCCGTCGGATGACTTAGGCTTTACTCTTCCAAAACTGTGACCCTTTGGCACACAGTCCAAGTTGTAATTACTGAAAATATTAATAAATGAATGGAAGTTTTGTTAATTTCAGTCTGATTTATTTTGTATATTTCTTTATTTTTTTGTTTTTAATTCCATTTTATTTATTTGAAATATACAGCATTTCAGGATTAACTGGAAAAATTTTCTATGAAGAAATGTCCGAAAATTTTAAGTTACAAGGTGTTGAAATCAACAGTTAAATTTACTTTATTTTTTTCTTCTGCTTCTGCTTCCTTTTTGAGTAATTTTAAACCAGAAACAGTTATATAGATGCAGGGTGTTGAAATTTAAAAAAATATTATCATTTTTAAAATCTTTGAAGGCGGTTCATGTAGAATGATGAAACTTCTGCTAAATAAATTATTTCCCAAGTTTCACTGTACTATGTCAAACATCTTCGGAGATATTTAAGACATCATTATTTTTTCCAAATATCAACACCTTGTTAAGAAAGACAGAGCATTTCTGGACATTCCTTCGTAGTAGGTACTTTTTTCTTATTTTTATGTTTAGCGATTAATTCTGAAACACGCTGTATACTTACGGAGCTAAGACCTTTCCCAGTTGTGGTTTTGTTCGTTTGTTGAAATTCGCTTGGATCTGATCGGAGGAAATTATGGGTTCGTGGCTGTGCCACTCGCAGGCGCACCTCACCCATATACCTCTTGCATCGTATTGTGTTTTACCTTCAAATTTCTGAGCAGGATCAAAGTGATCATCGTACCTGGAAAAAGTTCCCTATAAGGTCACTTAAAGGTGTTTATTTAACTACAACGGCATTTATTGCCAGCATATGTATTACAGAAAATGTTTAACGTTGTTCTAGGCGGTACTTACCCTCTGGTAATCCTCTCAGATGGGTTAAAGTCATCGTGAGTCTTCTTGTACTTTTCATGTGTAGCACGCTTGTCCCAAATCACTTTATATGGAGGTTTTGAAGAGTCTACCAATTCTTGAGTTGTCGGTTCTGAATATCACGTGTGTAAAAAAAATTGTAAAATATTGGCAAGTTTGAAAATTTTCCCAGGTTCAGGTCTGTCTACAGGCTGTTACAAATTCGCTTCTCACTACAAGGATCTCAGAAACGGTAAGAGCTACAAAGTAGCTTAAATGGGGGCAAAGTTGCGCAATCAGGGGACCAACGTTATGCCTTTAACAAATCAAGGCTAACATAATTAGTTTTCGAAATATTTGAAAAAAACAGAGATTTTGAAAATCCGTTTTTGTTTCATTTCAGCCTTGTTTGAGGTGATATTGAAAAAATAACAACACCTTCTCATGGCCACTTTTTGCCCTCTATCGAATGGCATAATCAATTTTTATATGTAACGTTTCGTCTCTCCAGAACCATTATCAACTTCATCATTTTTTTAAATATGACCCTAGAAATTTTATTACATTTTTTGCAAGCCTTCATGACCCCCAATACTGTACTGCCTCAGCCCAAACCAGATTCAGACGGTCTGTCTCAAAAAATTCATCTTCAGTGTATTCGTTCCAAATTTATATAAATTATTTATCGAGGTTTCTTTGTTTATTAAATTATCGCACACTGTATGTGTCAACGCCAACTGAATATTATTCTTTAAAAAATTTCAGTAAATGTTCAAAAACATTTTCGTTTTGGCAAAGGTTGAAAATGAAGATCGGCGTAATATTATCGGAATTTATTATATCCGTAAGCAACTGTGAAAGAGCACGTCAGATATATTTGTATAAATATCCTGAAAAAATAGATAGGAATTTGTTTGAATTTTGAGTACTCGAGAAGCCTAGAAATAACTATGGACACAGGAATAAAACTCTAATAATGTTTTACTTTAATGCGTGGTGGTAATAGTTTAAATAACTAGATGGATTTCACAGGGTCTAACGACACTTACGGTATACGATAATTCAATAAACAAAGAAAGCTAAATAAAAAATTTAGATAACTGAAACGAATACACTGAAGATGAATTTTTTGAGACAAAACGTCTGAATCTGGTTCAGGCTGAGGCAGTACATTATTGGGGGTCATGAAGGCTTGCAAAAAATGTAATAAAATTTCTAGGGTCGTATTTAAAAAAATCAAGTTGTTGATGGCCCTGGAGACGAAACGTTAATTATAAAAATTGATTATTATATTGGATAGAGGGCAAAAAGTGGCCATGAGAAAGTGTTCCTCTTTTTTCAATATTACCTCAAACAAGTCTGAAATGAAACAAAAACGGATTTCCAAAATTTCGCTTTTTTTCACATATTTCGAAAATTAATCATGTTAGCCTTGATTTTTTAGAGGCATAATGTTGGTCCCCTGATTACGCAACTTTGCCCCCATTTAAAGCTACTTTGTACCTCTTACCGTTTCAGAGATCCCTGTAGTGCGAAGTGAATTTGTAACAGCCTGTATATCATGTTCCGTTTCTCAATTGCCATGATTTACCTAATTTGCAATTACAAATAAATTGACCCGAAATGATCTAATATTTTGATAATTATTTATTATACCGTAACCCCTACGAATCGTCACAAAAATTTTCCTACTCCCCCCTATTTTTGATGGTGCTGAACATGAAGCTGAAGTTATTTTTGGGCAGTCGAAACTAGTTTTCGAGAACAATTTTTTCAAAATTCTAATCTGGACACTTCACACAACACTACGGACAACTCTGTATATTTTACGTAGCTTTCAGAACATCCATAATGAACAATCAACATTGTTTAAGAAGCATATTTTCGCAAATTTTCAGTAAAAAAATATGTATTTAATAAAATCATGAATTTTGGTCCATTACCTCAAGATCACCCTGCATAATCTTTAAGTTTACTTAATCTCCTTCAAATTTGTCGACGTGCTTAATAAACACCCAGTATATAACATTCATACAACCTATAGTAGGTACTATTGTTTTTTCGATATACCCAGTAAAAAAAATCGAATAGCACACCTACGAGATGCAAACAAAAAATTTGACTATATCATGAAAAAATTATAAATGTCCCGAGGCCCGAGGCTTACCGACTTCCTTTTCCCAGAAACTTTCATGTGCAGTAACTCGTAAATCGTCAAAACTGGATGATACAGTGTCCTCGTATGCTCCTGAAGACTTCCCCGCCTTGAAAGTACAAAATTATCAGAACGTTATAAATCACACGATATATACAGCTTGTATTATAGGTGATATAATATTATAATTCACCAGCAGATACATACAGCTTGTATTATAGGTGATCTGTCGATAAATTTTCCTTTATTCGCCATTCTTATAAAATCACTTTAAAGGTATAAATGGAATGAACTGGAATTATTAACTTAACAGCAGAGTTGCCAAATTGATTTTTACAATTCCCCCAACCACAGGAGTAAATACCCCCCAGGAACAGACATTTTTCAAATAAAATCCCCCAAAGTTTTCGAAATACTATATTTTTATTTATTAAAATTAATATAAATATCATACCTACGTAGAAATATATGTAATGTATTGCATTACGTACTTAAATTGCATTTTCTCAAAATATTTCTAAAACATTTACATCATTATTATTTATTTCATACATTTTCTCCGAACTATAATACTGGAGCATATTTTTATTAGGTTCCAAACATGTACGGTCTGTGAAACCCAGTATCTCAGTACTTGCTGCCTCACTCTAGCACGCACGCGATTGGTTGGAAATGAATGCTCCAACCAATCGCGTGTGTGCTAGTGAGACAGCATGTACTGAGGTATTTTATGTCTCTCTTGCACATTCAGTCACACTTTTCGCAATGGCATGCTATCTCCAGTAGTATATGCTCGAAGATACTAAACTACTGTAGGTATATTGAAGTACTTCTCGGTCAAAATTATGAATTATGTGATTAACCTACCAATACCAATATTACCTTACCATACATTTTACTCCAAAAGATATCCAAATAAATAATTCATCCCCAAAAATCCCCCCAAACAATGTTTACCTCGAAAAATACCCCCAAGCAAAAAAAAAATCCAAATTTGGGGGGAAAACCCCCAATCTGGCAACACTGCTTGACAGGGCCAAATATATATTTTTTTCAAGTTTGTAACTCGTTCGTACAAATTTGAATTTGTCGCGTTGTTAAGTTACCTATGAAAGTTGTTTTTTCCAAACCTTAGAAAATATTTATTAATCGTCATAATAAGTTGGAATATTATTGAAGATGAAATGAAATATGAAATGTTTTTGTTTATTAGACAATATTAATTTAAATTTCCAAGTCAAACGAAAAAGTAGGGAGTTTCACTCTATTGGTGATTTTATGTTATCATCGTTCAGGCTTGGGCTTGGCTTTCTGTCTTTGTCTATGGGCTTGACTCTTGGCCACAGAAGATTTGTTTTATCTTCTGTGTCTTGGCCATAGTGATGGGCATAATCGACCAATTTTGATAATCGAGTTATCGGTAATCGAGTACTTCTAATAATCGAGTGATCACTCGAGATACGAGATATTGGTCGTTTTCATCCCAGCGGCGCACAAATATGTTTGTATTAGTCATATATTACTTATAAGCGTAGCTAAAAAAAAAAAGCTCACGCACTTCAAAACCTAACCACTTTTTCGTTTTATTCTAAAAAAAAGGTTACGCAATCAGTGACTATTTGCAGTATGCACTAACATTTTGGGGTGCAACCGTAGGCTAATAATCACTCGAGTGGTGGGAGTAAACATCTCGAGATATCTCGAGTGATCTCAATAATCGAGTACCACTCGATTTTTCACTCGAAATCTCCCATCACTACTTGGCCATAGAAAATGCTCTTGGCTTTGCCCACTACCAAGTTTAAGCAAAAAAGACATACTTGCATAGATAAGAACAAGTACATACTTGGTCGAAATCTCTCAGATTAACCATTTCCGAGATATTGGCTGATGAAGAGTTAACCACACACACCATAATTTCAAATTATTTACGGTGAAAAATTTTAAAATATATTTCGGACTCGCACATTTACAGAAAAAAAGTCTTCGACCTCAAAAATATGAGATTTTTTTACATGTGACACACGCAACCACCAACAATCATACAGCATGTTGAGATATATGTAGACATATGCAGGGCATTGCAAAATCTTGTTTAGAGTATTCTAGAGCAGTTTCTACATCCAAAAATTTTAAAAAAAATCCTATAAATGTATCGAGGATGTCAAAAATAAAATGTTTTATATAATTTCTAAATTTTTCATTGGAAATCGTTTAAATTTGGATAATTTATTTCTCCATAGCGACAGCGCATGTTATTTCTCAGTGACAGTCACCAACTATGTTTTTTTTAGTAGGTAATGGTTTCATAGATTAGCATGATTTTTAAAAATCTTCAATAGCTCGAAAGCCGCTCGTTAAATGACAAATATGCAAGGGGGCCTTTTTTGTTCTAAAATAAATGAGGTTCCTAAATTTGAAGTAAAAACTAGTGGCGTATGTTTTCTAGTCAAAAATCAATAGGTACTCCCCCATATCTACGCCCCTGATGGGTCTGAAATGCAATCGATTATACCAAATTATAACCTACGTATCATAAATGTATTGACCCAAATTTAAACGATTTCCAATGAAAAATGTAGAAATTATCACTAAAAAAACGTTTTTTATTTTTTTTTGACACCTATTTCGAAATTGAAACATTTGCGGACCTACCATAGTTTATAGGAATTTGTTCATATTTTTGGATGTAGAATCTACTCTAGAATTCGCTGAACAACATTTTGCAACACCCTGTATAAGATTTTTTGCGTTTTTTGACCAAAAACTATCTCAATGAAGATGCATTTCTTCAAATAAAAGTTGTTCAAAATTAAATTTCCTACAAGGTTCTATAAAAAATTCCAATTTTCTCAATAGTTTTCACATATTTTTTTTTAAATGAAGCACATGTGAAAATTAATGTTTTGAGCCAAAATAACGGTCAATTTATTTTTAAATAACAAAAGTGAATTAGAGGAAAGACAATTGTGGAAAATTTTTGGAAAATCTTATACAGGGTGTCCCGAAATTAATGCAACAAAATTTGGTCGCAGATACTTAACACAAATTTATAGGACCTGTATTTTTTATTTTTGCCAAATGTCCCCCTCTTTCTGAGTTACAGCCCCCTAAGAATAATCTTTTTTTTATCTCAGAACCCTGTTGTACGAGAATCACTAAATTTGGTACACAGGGGTTTTATGACATGTGGAATCTGATGGTAGTACGTTTTTTGGCGGGGAACCCCCTTAAGACAATTTTTCATAGGCCCCCTTGTCTTTGGAGCCAAAAAAATTTGGTCACATTTGTAAATTTCTAGAAAATTATTAGTCCACTAGAAAGCCATTAAATTTAGAAACTTTTTGTTTCTTTATACTTTTTTCGTAAAACGCAATGTTTTCGAGAAAAATGTCAAAATGTGAACGAATGCATATCGTGATTCGCCATTTTCCTCAAAAACATTGCGTTTTACGAAAAAAATATCAAGGGACAAAAAAGTTTCTAAATTCAATGGCTTTAGCTAACTAATAATTTTTAAAAATATCAAATTTGCAACCAAATTTTTCTGGTTCCAAAGACAAGGGGACTAACGAAAAAGTGTCTTAAGGGGGTTTCTCGCCAAAAAGCGTAACACTGTGAGATTCCACGTGTCATAAAACCCCCGTTTACCAAATTTGGTGATTCTCGTACAACATGGTTTTGAGATATAAAAAATACTTCTAAGGGGCAGATTTTAGGGGGCTGTAACTCCGAAAGAGGGGGCCAGTTGGCAAAAATAAAAAATACGGGTCCCCTAAATTTGTCTTAAGAATTTGTGACCAAACTTTGTTGCATGAATTTCGGGACACCCTGTATGTATAGTTTTCCGAGGTTTTAATATTTATGAGTATCAAACTCATAATTTTATAGATTTTCTTGTAGTTATTTAAAAAAAAAAAAATACGACTAATTTTTGCAGATTTATTAATATACGAATTATGCATTTACATTTTTGAGACTACAACTACAATTATTTAATTTTAAAACCTAAATGCTAGCAAAGCAATACCTTTTCAATGACAATGTGGCTGCCAAATGAAACAAAAATTGCCACAAGTTTAAATGCATTTAAATCTAAATATTTTTTTAGTAACAAATAAATTTTATTTCCTAGCTAGAGGAGTACTATGAAAGCTTATGAATGTACGAGATGCAAGCAAATATTCTGACCATATAAATGTTTTTTTTCTTTTTGGATGTGATAGAAAAAAAATATTATTATTAGGTCTAAAGACTTAATCGCTAATGGATAAAAATAATATCAAAATTTTTTTAACATATACTTATCTAACTATGTAGTAGTTTTTCATCTTTAAAAACAACGTTAAAAACAGTCGATTCAACTTGAGTAGAAATAAAAAAGAAGATAATATTCAGTCTGAGCGATGGCAGTAACGTTAAAGCAATATTCTTTATGAAACAAACCTTATATTTTCTCAAATTCTTGCTCGTCCGCTGCCAGTTTTGTAGAGATGTGAAAATGATCAGAATGGACGGACGGTAATCCAGCTGCGTGCATGCCTTGAAAAATTTGAAAAAGTAATTTTTTTTGTTACGTTTCTTTGTGCACTTACCTGAACTGTCCATTATCATGTAGTCGCAAGTTGCAGCCTGATCTGGTCCCACGTAGTACCTGCTTGTCTTCGGTATATCTAAAAATCCAACAAATAAACATTAAAAAACAAATATTTTGTTTCTATTAGTAGCCGTTACATGATTTTCTTCAATTTAATTGTTTTTATTTTATACAGTGTGTAATAGGTTTTATTTTGATAATAATTTCGGGAGACACAATGAGAATAATTTTTGTTTTTTTGTAATACGGGGTGTTTTTTTTTATTTATTTTTATTTGTTCTATTGTTCCCAAAGTTATCGAAATAAAATCAATTATACCCTCTATAACTGTATAATGGAAAAGAAGGAAATTGGACTTTCAATTACCATGAAACTCCATTATTTGGAACGATGGCGAATCGACATCAATTATTTCAATGAATCTTTTATAATCGACTTTGTCTTCTACAATAACACCCAGGATCCTCATAAGGGATTCGATGTCTTCCTTAGGGAACGTGAGTTTGTGACACATACACAGTTCGAAAAACGTGTCAACTGGCAACCATCCGGTTTCCTCCTACAAAAAATTCTCGTCGAATGCTATTTCTATACAGGCCGAGTCAGGAGGAATCCCCCAAATTCTAGGAGCGTATTCTACACTTAATAATAATAAAAAAAACTCAAATTCTTATTATTTTTTTCAACTTAAGCATAACAAAATTTATAAACAATTAAATTAATAGTGAGTATACAATATTTTTGCTACCGTTTTATTAATTTAAGACAGTCATTTTGTTACGGCTTTTAACTTCAAAACAAATAAAAATCGGAAAGGACTCGAGCTTTTAAACTATTTTTTCGCGTTGAATGTATACACCTAGAGCTTGAAGCGTTTCTCCCGTCTCACCCTGCATATTCAAAAATTTTACTTTGTCAAAATGCTGGGCTTTGTCACAGAAATCGTTGAATTGAAAATCCTCATCGCTTCTGTGCTTCAACAACAATTTTAAATCGTTCAAGGACCCTAGCCACTTGTAGAAGTCTCGTTTAAACAAACATGAAGACTGATTCGAGTCAGTTATCAAATCGGAAGTGCCGTCNTCCAAAACTAAATTATATTTTTTTGAACACCTTGTATCTGGGAAAAATACAGGGTGTCCCTAGATTAAGGGGCAATATTTCTACAGGGTGTCTATGTCGAAAAAGATTACTTTTCCTTTATATAAACGTAGGTACAAAAATTCTTCCTAAGGAGTTATTGCCACTTAAAGAGACCACTCTGATGAAGGTTTTTTTCTAAATAACTCTAAAATTTACCATACAGATTTCCATTTTGCTGAATACATTTTTCAGCTCGACGTCGAACTGCCCAAGAAGAACTCAAAAATTCAAAATTATTTTGTGTGATTTTATTTGCAGCCAAATAAATGAATCCGCTGTTGTAATTCTTCCAAAGGATTTATTTCTGCAGCATAAACTACAGCCTTCATCTTACCCCACAGAAAGTAATCTAGAGGATTTAGGTCTAGAGACCGAGGTGGCCATGGAATGGTACCACCTCTACCTATCCACCTGCCAGGAAAATGATCGTTTAAAACCAATTTATGACATTATGGGTAAAGTGAGGTGGTTCCCCATCTTGTTGATAGTGTAATGTTAAGCGTATGTTTAATGGTGTATCATCCAATAGTTCTCTTATATCATTTTGCAGAAAGTTTAAATATCCTTCTGCATTCAGACAAACGGGAAACTGAACTGGTCCTATAGTCTGTTTGGAAATGAAAGAGAGTAATAAAACCCCGAGATAAGAACTGGCCATGGGCGTGGTATTATTTCGTTTCAGGTAATTATCGGGTAACACTAATGCTAACAAAAATGACAGGGATTGGAAAATCGACTATCTACNGCATACCATTTTTTACATTTGCAAAATGCGTCTTTACTATCAAAAATATTCTGTAAAATTTTAACGAAGGAACATGGCGTTTTCTTTTTTAATATTTGAAAAGTTTTCAATTAAATTTGAATGTGTTCCATTTCTAATATAACATACAGGGTATTTTAAATTAAGTTAAGGGAGGTTTGCTTTTGCTGCAAGTTCTAAAGAAGTTCAAAACTGTCGACGCTGGATTCATTCACACGAGCTATCACTCGGAGTATCCACTAGATTTTCCCCAATTCATTTCCACAGCACAGGTCTTGTTTTGTTATGTGCTATATTCATCTGTTAGTTATTTAGATATCAACATGTCACATTTCAAACGAAATGGAACTTTCATATATTTGAAATATTTATTCTATTTAGAAAAACTGTTACTTAAAAAATGTGATTATTTCCCACATCCCACAAAATCCAACTTAAAAAATACCTTGTTCTACTTCTTCCCGAAGCTATCAAAATAAAACCGGTTACACTCTCTACAACTGAATAATTGAAAAGGGACTAAACAATCAGTTACCATGAAACTCCATTATTTGGAACATTGGTGAATTGACATTAATTATTTCAATGAATCTTCCATACTCGACTTTGTCGTCCACAATAATATTCATAATCCTCATAAGAGATTCGATGTCTTCCTTAGGGAACGTGAGTTTGTGACACATGCACAGTTCGAAAAATGTGTCTACTGGCAACCACCCCGTATGGTTCTAGAAAAAAATCTTGTCGATTGCTACTTTTATACAGTAAGTAGAAGGAGGAACGCCCCAAATTCTAGGAGTGTATTCTACATTTAATAATAATAAAAGAAACTCGATGTTATATAATTCTTTTTTTTTTTTTCAACTTGAACATAAAATTTATAAACAATTAAATTAATAGCGGATATACATTATTATTACCGTTTTATTAATTTAAGATCCTGTAATTTTGTTACAACTTTTGACTTGAAAACAAATAAAAATTAGATAACACTTGAGTTTTTAAACAATTTTTTCGCTTACAATTAGAATATACAGTGTGAGTCATTAATAATGGTACACAGCTTAATGGCAGATTGTTAACGTCAAAACATAGTGATTGAGCCAAACATGCCCTAGTCAATTGTTGCTCCTTTTCGTTCTACAGGGTGTTCAAGTTGAAAAAATATTTTTAATTTTTTGCTATATTTTAAGTATATATGGATCAATTGTTTTGAAAATTTGTAGTTTTACGTTTTTTGAGATGGCAAGTACGAATATGCAAACAGTGGTGGAGTCGCGTCTAGGGGACGCTGGTTATACTGTCTTATCGATGCAGAAACATGTCTAACTTTTTGTATTTTACAATTTTGAATTTTTTAACTAGAAATTATTGAACTACGTTCAATTTTGAATAAAAAATGTATACTTGATACAAATCGATAAACTCAACCGTTTTCGAGATGCAGACATTTTAAGTTTTTGAGATTCGGCGGGAATTAAATTTAAAAAAGTATTTTTTCCAAAGTACATTGACAATAAATTGACAGCACATTATACTCGTAAAAAAAAAATTAAAACCTTCGCCTGCACGTAGCCCTGATTTATATCCGCTGGATTTTTCTTTTGGAGTTATCTTAAATCTCTAATTTACAAAGACATTACTATTTATGACAGAAACTTATTCAACATCAGAGAAAATTTAAATAAATGCATTGAAGTCGCTGGTGGTTGCTTTGAGAATCTTTTATGAATAATAATTTGTTAAGATATGCATAATAAAATTTTCAGTTGCTGTAATGTTTGTCTTAATTCTTAGATAGATAGATAGATAGATAGATAGATAGATAGATAGATAGATAGATAGATATATTAGTGTTAGTACACAACAAGTGTTTACACACGTCAAAAAAAATAATTATAGTAGTAATATAAAATCATTATGAAAAAAAAATAATAGTAAAATACATATACAGCACAGTACACACGCGTATAACAGTGTTGACACGTAACTAGTTCATAATTTAAAAAACAAAGAAAATGGTAATAAAACAATACAAGTACAAGCAATAAATGGTTGTCAAATGTTAAAATAAAATGTTTGTAAGAGGACAACAAAACAAACAAACAGTAAATGGTACATGTTAAAATAAGATTATGAGTAATGTAGTAAAAAAAAAAAAACTGAAACAATGCAACTGAAGTGTGCGAAGCTACGTCTAAGATAGTCATATTAGGGTGAGATCACTTTTTAAAAATTCTTGCGTAGTATAAAATGCGTTGGTTAATAGAAAGTGTTTTATTTTTCTTTTAAATAAAGTAGGGTTGAGATGACGTACTGGAACTGGTAATGCATTAAAAAACTGGATGCCCAGATATGATGTGCCATTACGTGTTTTACTTAAGCGATGAAAGTTTAAGTTTATGTCATTTTTGTTTCTAGTATTATGAAGGTGGATTTGGCTACGGACAGTAAACGACTCTTCATTTTCTTTTACGTACAAAAGGCACTGGAGTATGTAAGTACATGGTAATGTTAAAATACCAAGTTTCTTAAACTGTGCTCTGCAGTCATCTCTGAATTTTAAACCCGAGATTATGCGAATGGCTTTTCTTTGAGTAGCAAAAACGGTATCAGCTGAAGGTGAATGACCCCAAATCAGGATTGCATAGGATATTTGGGAGTGAATAAGGCTATGATAAGCAGTAATTAACGTTTTTTGAGATACTTTGCTAATCAAGTTGCGGATTAAATAGATACCCTTGGTGTTCTTATTGCAGAGGTAGTGGGCGTGCCTGTCCCATTGCAATTTCGGATCCAAATATATTCCCAGAAATTTTACTGCATCAGGATTGTTTACATCGTCTATTTCACGCAAGCTGAACATCAATTTTTCGGTCTTAGATGCGTTTAGGCATAAGTTATTTGAAGTAAACCAATGTAATGCGTCATTCTCGATTATTGGAATGTCCACCGTCAGATCATCCAAAACATTATTAGCTATGGATAAGTTTGTGTCATCAGCAAAAAGAATCGCGAACACGTCGTTTCTCACAGATTTTGGGAAATCATTTATATACAGTAGGAATAGTAGTGGTCCCAGAACAGAACCTTGAGGTACCCCGTAATTCAAATTTAATGTATTTGATTTGTAGTTGTTATGAACAACGTATTGTTGTCTATGATAGAGATACAACTGAATAAGTGATATGCTTTCGGGAGTACAACCGTAAAATTGCAATTTGTCAATAAGTATATTATGACAGATGCAATCGAAGGCTTTGGTGAGGTCAACAAACATCGAACACACGTACTTACCCTCATCAAACCCACTGTTTATAAATGAAGTCAACCTGTCTATTGCAAGTGTAGTTGACATATTACTTCTGAAACCGAATTGATTGGGACTGAAGAGATTACTATTTTCTAGATATACAACAAGTTGGTCTTTCAATATTAATTCGTAAATTTTTGCAAAACAAGGGATGACCGATATAGGTCTATAATTTGATGGATCGTTGGTATCATTTTTTTTAAAGATAGGTATAACTTTAGATATTTTGAGACAACTAGGGAAAATATTCTGAGACAGACATAAATTAAGTAACTGAGTAAGAGGAAATATTATAGTGTCTTTAATACTCTTCAATATTTTTACAGAAATATCGTGAGGATCGTAACTTTTTATGTCCTTAAGACGCGTTATGAGGTTAATTCAGGCCCGGTATCTCAAGACCTGCTAATTTTCTAATTTAATTCCCGCCGAATCTCAAAAACTTAAAATGTCTGTATTTCGAAAATGGTCGAGTTTATTGATTTCTAACCAGTATACCTTTTTTATTTAAAATTGAACGTAGTTCAATAATTTCTTGATAAAAAATTCAAAATTGTAAAATACAAAAAGTTAGATATATTTTTACTTTGATAGGACAATATAACTAGCGCCCTCTAGATGTCACCCCAACACTGTTTGCATATTCGTATTTGCCACCTCAACAAACATTAAACTACAAATTTTCAAAACAATCGGTCCATACATACTAAAAATATAGAAAAAATCGAAAATATGTTTTCAACTTTAACATCCTGTAGAACGAAAAGAAGCAACAATTGACTAAGACATATTTGGCTATATTTTGACGTCAACAATCTGCCATTAAGCTGTGTACCATTATTATTAATGACTCGCCCTGTATATCTAGACCTTGAGGCGTTTCTCCCGTCTCACCCTGTATATTAGAAAAATAATTTACTTTGTCGAAATGCAGGGCTTTCTCACAGAAATCGTTGAAATGAAAATCCTCATCACTTCTATGCTTCAACGACAATTTTAAATCGTTCAAGGACCCTAGCCACTTGTAGAAGTCTCGCTTAAACAAACACGAAGACTGATTCGAGTTAGTTATCAAATCGGATATGCCGTCAGACGACTCAGGCTTTACTCTTCCAAAACTGTGACCCTTTGGGACACAGTCCAAGTTGTGATTACTAAAAATATTAATCGGTTTAACATTAATTAATTTCAAGCTGATTTATAGTGAAATAATTTTACTGCATTTTTGTTTTTAATTCCAAGGATCGTTTTAGTTTTTTTAAATATAGTGTTCCAGGATTAACCGACCAAACGTAAAATTCTAAATCGGGCAGCCAAAATAAGAATCCTTTGAAAAAACGTATGAAAATTTCGTTGTATACTTACGGAGATAAAACCTTGCCCACTTGCGGTTTTGTTCGTTCGTTGAAATTCGCTTGGATTCGATCGACGCAAATTATGGGTTCGTGGCTGTGCCACTCGCAGGCACACCTTACCCATATGCCTCTTGCATCGTATTGTGTTTTACCTTCAAATTTCTGAGCAGGATCAAAATGATCATCGTACCTGGAAAAAGTTTCCTCTAATTTCACTGAAATGTGTTTATTTAACCACAAGCGCATTCATTGCCAGCGTATGTATTACCATAAAATTTTTAGCCGGTACTTACCCTCTGCTAATCCTCTCAGATGGGTTAAAGTCATCGTGAGTCTTCTTATACCTTTCATGCATAGCATGGCTGTCCCAAATCACTTTATATGGAGGTTCTGGAGGGCTTACCAATTCTTGAGTTGTCAATTCTGAAAATCATACCTATTTAAAAAAAATTGGGAAATAGTAATAAGCTTCATTGTTCTGCATAGCACGCCTTCAGAAATATTCGTTTCGACTTGCAATCCATGTTTATACAGTACGGGCCTAAAGTATGGAATAAATTCAGTAAAAACAATCAAAATTTAAAAAATAAATGTGCCATAATACTTTAAATTCAACAATAATTTTTATATCGCTTAAAATACTTAGAAAGTTGGTATGACTGTGACACTTTGTAAAGATTTACACCTACGTGATCCATAAAAAACTTCAGGCATTTCGAAAAACTAAATTAGATTTTTTTGACGTTTTTGCTTTATTTTAATTGATCCTATGTAAGATGGCAACATTTTAATACTGTCAGATCGACAATGAAACGATATCAGAATCAAGAAAAACAATAGGGGGTTGCTATTTAAAAAAAATGTCGATGACGTCATTACTCGAAAACAAATGACGGTTGAAAATTGCCTTTTATGCTAAAATATGTATTTTTTAAATTAAAAATCGACCTGTTCGAGGATTTTTCCCAAAAAAAATTTACCATACTTTAGGCGCGTACTGCATAAACTTAAAGTTCACTTAAAACTCCTCGACCTATTTAATTAACACCCTGTAATTCACAAAACCAATCATACTATTGTTTGTTCGATATACCCAGATGTAAAATATATTATGAAAAAATTAACTTTGACCAGAGGCTTACCAACTTGTTTTTCCGTTTCATGTGGAGCATCTTTCAAGTCCTCAATTAATTCCTGACACTCAGTTTGCGGTGGTAGATTTAATATTTCTTTTACCTATATGTACATATTGTAAAATAACTATTTAAAAGATTGAACTAGATACTTAGACAATTGGATACCTCTATATTTGTGGTACAACATACAATTTTATTTGGCGACACATTTGAAGGTGGAACGGAAACATCTTCCTTAGAAATGTTTGTATCATGTTTCATGGATGTTGTTTGATCCCTTAAAGAACATTCTCTTAAAGTGGATGTTACAGTGTCCTCAGCTACCTCTGTAGACTTCCCCGCCTTGAAAGTACATAATTATTAAAGAATGTTATAATTCTCCAGATACATACAGCATGTATTATAGGTATTCTGTCAATAAATTTTCCTTTATTTGCCATACTTTTAAAATCACTATAAATTGAATGAACTGGAATTAATAAAAAAAATTGTTAAATTGATAGGGCCAGAGACAAGACAACCCAGAGACGCGCACACAGAAAAGACGCGCACAGAGACAATAGATAACTATAGATAGCTAACTCGAGTGGAGGGGGAAGGACTGTAAAAAGCATCAGCGCCAATGTGCCAAGTGTATCAAATAGAAGTCATTTAGCGGGACTTTTAAAATATATTGATAATATTAAATAATAAACTTAATTTTGCCTAAAATGATTATATCTCATACTGAGACTGTAAATAATATACCATAAAGAGACAGTATGTCACATTACTTTAAATTTTGAAACGTCATCAAAGTAATGTACAATAGTGTTTTTTTTAAGTATATTATCTACAATCTTAGTATAAAATATAATCATTTTAAGCAAAAGTAAGTTTATTAAAACAACCCCTTCATCAATAATCCTTCTACTTCATGGGATTATTTCTTAATTGTTAATGGCAAAAAATACTCAAACTCTAAAATACTAAATACTGCCACAGAAAAGTAATTTCAGACAATATATAAGTGATATAGATATTATTTAAAGTATCGTTTCTTTCTAAAGGATACAATTGCTTATTTTGTTTTTAATTTTACTTACCTAATATGTACTTCAAATGATTTCTTTGCACTGTTGTAAACAGTTTTGTTTATTTTATTAAATAAAATGCATTTGTTTTTTTAATTATTTATAGTAAATTACAATACGCTGACATATTGCAAGTTATATTATACTATAAAATATATAAATTAAAATACTTTACAAGCTAGACCACACAAACACACAAGGTTATAGGCCGTGTTCTTTTATTGAAAATAAACTTAATATTCAAATTGAAATTCAAGAAATGTTAAATTTGTTTAAACTACACTTTTACTAATAGAAACATGTCTAATACAAATATTTACACATACTATTTAAAATAAAGTAAGCACCTTTATATCTTAATGAAGTTTCAGTAATTGAGTCTACCGCACTAACTATACCTGTTCGGTTGGGGTTATACAATCCCTTGAAGTACCTGGTATTGAAATAAATGGATTATCCTCTTCTTCACCTTTAAAGAGAATTGAATTTATTACAATTTATACAGTTCTATAAAAGTATTACTAAATAATCAAATAAAATTCTGTAAAGGACACTGCAAATAAATTCATGCGTTGATTAAAAATAGTACATACTTCAGTCAACGATTTATATTTATTTTACAGTAGTCACTAATTTATATTGCAAATAACCTCCAATAAAAGAATATACTAATCTATAAATGTAAATTGGAAACATTTTAAAAATTTTAATTCTGGTTAAGTAAATGCGAAATTACCTGGCTGCCTTAATGTGATTTGAACTTCAGAATATATATTGGGTGTATTGCATTCAGTAGAAGTGCTTGGAATAGGATCTGGTACTTCCAAATGAGTTTCTGTTTCACAACTTCCATATTTATAAAGCGAATTTTCCTGTGTCGGACTTTCATGAAAATCTAAAGTACACATACAAAAATATTGACACAATATTTTATTTAGTTTTTATATATTTACCTGGCAAAAATAATATGGACAAACTTCCATATTTTAACTTTTTCTCCCCAGGAGTTCGACAAAATTCACTGCTTATCGCATACTCTGTATCTCCTATAAGCAATTTGAGGATCAAGACTTCAGTGTATGATTACCAATCCTCTTTACCCAAATATCGTATACCTGAAAGAAAGTGTAATAAAAATATTGTATATAGGTTACAAATTTACGGTACAATTGTTTCCTTTATATATAAGCGTTTTAATTCTTACTTACATTTTCATCACAATTCGGTCCACAACACACAAAAACCATTGTCCTATTATAGTTTATAATCAATTAACAATAAATAAAATACAACAATACCACAAAACCATCCACAAAACAAAATAAATTCAAATAGTAAATGATAAACTTGGTTCCTGTTTTATCAACAACACCCAAGATTCCTAGATGCCAGCGTCAAAGTGGCAAGTGTATGAATTATTGTGTAATCCTCCCCCACCACAGAGAGTGCACAGCCCCTGGACGCGCAAGAAGGAATATTAGCACGTTCTATGATTGAATATTGAGTAGTCACATATATACGTCTTTGTTTTATATACGATCATCTGTATTTAGACATCTTTGTCAAATGTTGGGAACGTCAACATAGATAGCGCCAGTAGCGCTACGTTTCTATTGGATCCATAGAATTGGATCAACCCATCAACTAAATAAGAGGCTTTATTTCCTTGTCTTTCATTGGAAGAATCACTTGCTCCAGGCGCAACTGGCGCCATCTTACACCCGGCCTATGAACAAATAGCAGCTGCAACACAAAACAGAAACCGTGTTAGCCGACTTTGGTTTGAGAATGTAGCTCAAAAACTATGCAATAGATGTCGCTTTATTACGCTGCACTTGGCGGCAAATTTAAATATATCATAAAATTATGCAACATATATGGAATAAAATTCATAATCATTGACTACAAAGTTTTGTAAAAAAAATATCAGTTCTAATGTAAAAATTGACCAGATTTTTTTTTACAAAATTATGTAGTCAATGATTTATGAATTTCATTTCATGTAAGTTACACACAATTATGGTATAAAAAATTGACTTTTTTATTTTTAGTAGGTATATCCATTAAGAGGCTATTATTGGTTTCACTTTTTAAGCAATGACTAAAAAATGCATAAGCAGTTGTTTTTTAGATGCATGTACTTAAATTTATTCTGTTATAAATAGGAAAAGAAAAGATAATTACTAGTAATTAATAGTGATTACTGTGATACAAAATAGACATATATACTTACCTTTCTCCTCTTTATGAAAAATATTGTTAGATACATTTGTTTGAAACTATATTGGTTCTCATCAGTACGATGTACTACTGATTATTATTTTCTGCGAAAATTTAAATACTGATAGTATTAGTAACAAATATCAGTAGATTTGCTACCACATTTTGTCTACCTAGGGATCCAAGATCTACATATCCGATTTCTTGGTCTTTAGAAATATCATAACTTAAATTAGCAGACAATGCTATTTCATCGAATACTAAACAACAAACCCGATCTCTTAAATTCATTTTCTTTACACGTTCTGATAATTTACATAAAAGTTTTTTATTGATTCCTACGTCTAAAGGTATTTGGCCTAAATATTTTCTTATGGAAGATTTACAAGGTAGTACAAAAATTTTTTGTAAAAATCGATAGCACCTAGGACCCCGTTTATAAATAGCTAAAGCAAGTGCTTTATTTTCTGAGTTAGGTATATATAGGACGTTTCTTTTTGCAGTTAGTAATTTGTGATTCAATCTGTAATAGACGAGCTAGTGATTTTAGGGCCTTGTCCAATTTAATTGATTCCACAGTGATTCGTAACTTATTCAGTGAAATGTCAAGAACAGCTGTGGATTTTTTAATTGCACAATTTGCGTTGTGGGAAAAGAAGTCCCAAAGGTCGAAGATGAACAACAAAAGAGAATGTGACCTTGAAAATTTCCACCCATATTATCTTTTTTATACATTTTTCTTTCTTGTTTATCAATAAACGATGTAATTTGACTTGGTTCTTTTATTTTTCTTTTAAATATATTTGAAAAATATAAAAAGTACTAATAAATTGTACCCCGCGAATTTTTAAATCAGTTCACAGCAAAGCGCGCGCCATCTGTGCTAACGTTCCCTTACAGCGGACGAATAAAGTATTGCATAAAGGCCGGCACACACTTGTCAGACACCACTTCGATCCGACTACGGTCCGATGTTGCCCCAAAGAAGCAGATCGGGCGAGCACACATGTCCTACACGCTTCGGAGTCCTTTCCGATTTCCAGCTCCGGGTCGATACATTCGCCACTCTCGCCTGTCTCGATTCAAACAAAATCGCGGAAGGTCCTGTGCGCAAAATGTTTAAAAATTTTTGCAACTGCGATTTAGCCATGGTGGCACTTTGTTTAGAAGAGGAAGATGAAGAAAATCGGAGAGATTTCATGGAGAACAGAGGAAAACGCAGATTTTCGGTACATCCTGCTTGGAAAAGAAGATCCGCGAAGGAGAGTATTCTACACTTTTACCTCTTCTGTTGGATGACGAGATAAAGTTTTACCAATATTTTAAAATGTCTCTTTAGAAAAACTCAAAAATATATAAATACCAAACAACACGCGTCCTGCAGCTGTTAAACGAATAGACTGCACGAGCACGATCGGATGATCGGATGCATGAACGGAGTCGTGTACGAGTGGGGGTGGACACGTGCCGGAAAGGTGTCAAACTCTAGTTCTAGTACCATTTCCCTCAGACACTCGTCCGACTGTATGATCGCAGTCGGATCGGAATGTTGTATGACAAATGTGTTCCGGCCTTAATACATACTCAAATTTTGCATGCAGTTGCGCGTCTCGATTGTCTCTGACAGTCTGACAGGGCCAAATATATTTTTTTCAAGTTTGTAATTCGTTCGTACAATTTGAATTTGCCGCGTTGTTAAGTTATGTATGAAAGTTGTATTTTTCAAAGCTTAGAAAATATTTGTTGATCATCATGATAAATTAGGATAATATTCTTGTTAGAAGAAATGTTTTTGTTTATTAGAAAATATTGATTTAAATTTCCAAGAAAAGAGAAAAAATAGGGAGTTTCATTTAGGTGGTGGCAGCTTCGTTTAATTGTGCTTTTATGTTGGTAGACCGTTATCATCGTTCAGGAGAACTGTCATTTTGTCCGCTGTTAATTTTATCTATTGTGTATAAATTGGTGCTAACTTATTAAAACGGTGGTTTAGTAAGTGTTTTATGTCGAAGGAAAGTGTTTATAGTCTTAGTGAAAACGTGATCTCTTAGTTGAAGTAAGAAAAGTCCATCCTTAAGGTAGGTTAGACGAGTTCGATGTTTTTCACCATGTCAAAATGCGTCATTGCTAATGTACAAACTTTTCTTGTTTGATCGACGGGAGATAATTTTGCAAAACCTGTTGATTAGAATTATCCAAATGAAATCCAGTTGTCTCCGCAGGACAGTCACCAGATTTTACTATGATTTGCGCCCTTGAATATCCCCGAAATCCTTGGGAATATACGCCCCCCTCTTGTTATTCATCATTTCTACATATTTATAATTGCTTTATTACAGTGTAATCAATTCACGTAAAAATTTCGTTCTCTGCTCATACTGATAACTCCGTTACAATTCTTCTTAAAAAGTCATATGGGAGTGAATTTTGCAGGTCATTTTTATGTTATGAATTTTTGCTAATCTATTTTCATTATCTTATGTGGTACCAACTGAATCTATCACCGTTTTACTTGCATCTTCTAACAGTTCTAACAATGTCTATTCGACATTTTTTTTATTTGTAAAATGCAAAGCAACAGTTTGCTCTACTTACTTGGTTACAGTTATGAGAGTTATAAACAAAGATTTGCTCTGATTTTGCTTTGGTTACAAACAGATGTATGTTCCTGAAGTTTGTATAAAAGTCTTTACATGTTACTTTCTATTACCGTATTAAATATTAATTAGTTTTATATTTTGGCTGCATAACTTAATCTTTGCACATTTCCTTTAGTTAAGGTTCATATAAATGGAAATTTGTGGTGTTGTCACCAACTCAAAAGTCTCATTTAGTCATTGTGATAAATTAAATGTTGAACAAGATTAGGGAGAGATTATAAATTATTATGAACTTTCTTTTAACAATGTGAGGATTTTATTATCAAACAATTAAATTATGTAAAAAATACATTCACTGTTTAAAATTAAAAGTAGCAGACGTTGCATATCAAATATTTAAAAGCATATTGGGGAATTGTTCAAGAAGAGAAGGACGAGCACAGAATTGATTATCCTTTATAAGGCTTTATGCTACTACTTATGGTTAAAATGAGTACTTTCAGCTGTTGAAACGTTTTTAAACATATAATGCACTTGTGTCATTGAAGACATCATTTATTTCTTTCAAGGAATCAATTTGTTTGCTTTTTTCACGATCGTGAGAGTCGAGGACAAAAACCTGATATTTTGTCCAAAATTGACAAATTTTATTGTAGATCATTTTAAACGTGGTGTAATATTGAAAATATTGTATGTATTACTGTTTTTGTCATATGCCTTTCTCTTTGAAAGACAACTATTATCCTTACAAATTACTACGTTCTCAAGAGAATGCCCATGTCCAAACATATCAGAACATACAGGGCATTCCGTTAAAAATGAAAGTTTGAGGTGCTAATGTCACTGGTCACTGGTTTAGTGGTTTTATTTACACGAGAAACATTTGTCAGTGTTTTTATACGGTTATATTTCTGTGGTAATGGTAAGACTGGTAAGCATCTAAGGATCGCGACCACCAATGACGTCATGTCAACTACAGTGACGTCACAACTCGACGTCGACGCCGGGTAAATGGTAACTCGATAAAGGTGTATACCAAGAATTATTAAACCACTAAATATTAGTCACAAAGCGAGCCGTTGATAAAAAAATTAATGAATTAAGTAATTCGGCGATGTCACTTTAAAGAGAGACCACGCATTTTCCATAAGTTTTTCAGTAAATACGGTTCTGCACAGTCCATTATTACATTTTATTGAATAACGTTAATGTATTTAATCGTGCTAAAACCAGTTCCATTGCGGATGGATACATTTGTTTAATTCTCGTGGAGATTCGTTTAATATGAGGTATTCACGAACTTGATGCTATTAATTTCATTACCAGTTGAAAATGTGTTGTAGTTCATCAGCTTTAATACGAAGTCGTTTAACGGAAAACGATATTGGTTTTAGCGGAGCTTATTACAGCTATGCTGACACTGACCATGTTATGTCATTGCAGCATTATAAATAATAAAGTATAACAAGAAATTAAACACAAAATATTTTGTTTAATAGTTATTGTTTATGTGGAAAGGTAAATAAGTATGTTTAATATTTGATGGAAAAACATTAAGACAAATCGTTTATTTCATTTCTATACCCCATTTAAACAAATTCGGAATGTTATTGCATTATTTGTTATGGTAATGCAAGTCATTTGGAATTTTTTTTAATAACGCCACATTTTAGCAGAAACCTGTAATCTATTGCGGTTTTAAAACAATGAATTAACTTACTATACCGACTCTTTGTTGTAGTCTGTTAGATAATGTTGTTTTGTCTAGTTAGAAACGGAAATCTTCGTCGGTCTAACAAAAAGAACAGCTGATATCTTTTCACAGATAAATGTTGTCTGATAAAACCTCTTTCGTCAAACTATTTTTTCAGTAAAATTTTCAAAATTATTCAATACCATAAAACTGTCTTATTTTTAAACAGTTTAAATCTACGGTTATCACTTAGCCTTCGTTAACATTTAGCCTTTTTGATTTGTTGAACTACTGACATGACTTCACCGGGTTAGCACTCTAGACTTTTACTGGTGTGGTGACACAATGAAACACGTATTATCAACCTAATTTCTAATCGTATTTTTCTGTACCTATGAATGATACGAGTCGGCATTTAATTTCCTTTTTATATATTTAGATAATAATTATTCAGCGGGGGAAAGTACAATTGGCAGCGGCCAAACTTCGGCGATGGTGATAGCGACGTTTCATTAATTAATTTCCGATAAGTCGATATCAGCGTAAAAATAACAAGGCGATATCTAAAATGTCGATGTTTGTTTGCGACTCCTTTTCAATACGTTTTTAATTAACGTTAGGAGGGGGGGGGGGGGATTTTATGGTTTTAAATTTGGTGGTACAAATTCTAATGGGACGCTAGTGGCTGACAAATGTGTGAATATGACGTCATATTAGAGGGCAACGATCTAAATCTGTTTACAAAATTGCACCAGGAAATCCATAGACAAAATAAAGCTTTACTACAATTCTATTATTGCTTCGTAGATTTCTCTTTCTTAATTTGGTCGTTTCGATATTTTACAGGGTGTTCTGCAAAAAGATGCCAATTCAGAGACTGATAGAACATTTTTCCGTATATCGATCATAGGTTTATAATCTTTAAGTGTTTTGTTTTTGACAGGGCGTCAAAAATGATTGTTTAAAATAAAGTTTTAATATATTTTTCAAGAACAGTATAATAGTGTAAGAAGATGCTAAATACATACCTTTCTACGTCACTATTGTTAATTTTCGATTGTCTTGTAGAGGTTGCTAGTTACGACCTTTCTCGGCGATATTTTAGAACATAACTTTTTTGAGGTTAGGTTTTCTTTTCTGTGTTATAATAATGTTACATTTAATGCCTTCTTTTTGTTATGATAATGTTTTGAAAACTAGACTGCAAAAATACTACAATACTATTGGTCATTATTTGATCGTGATTCGAAATCATAGTGCAAAGGAAGATACTTATCGTTTTAAAATTTCATTTTATACAAAAATTATACTCTCGTTAAAACTGCTGAAAATGCAATGTTTTCGAGAAAAATATAATCGTGCCTTAGTCAACCAATTTTTATCAATAAATACAACCTTCAATTTCTTCAATTTTTTTTGGTGCTTTCAATACTGAAAAAAAATCTCTTGGTATTTTTTCTTTTGATGTTTGGTTTAAGACAAAAACGCGATTTTATTCTTCTTGGTTGTTTTGTTAATAATTATTTTATATTTATTAGTTGAAAAACATATGCAGAGTGTATATATTTAATATATTTTGTTACTTTTTATGTCAAAAAACCTACAAGTGAAACAACTTTTTTAAAGATCTTTTATTTTCTGTACTTGCTTTAAAAAATTTTTATCAGAACTATATTTATATGAGAGTATGTTTAAGTTATGAGTAAAACAAATACAAAAACACTTATCTAGATTTTGTTGAAGCCTATTTACCCTACAGTATTCAAAAAACGAATTTAAATTTATCGAAATGAAAGATAATTAGCCAGGTTATTTATTCGTGAATATATTTTTAAATTGTCCGCGTATCTTAAGATTCTGCAAAATTTAAAGCAGTGGTGAATATCATTAATATAGACCAAGATAATAATGGTGCCAAATATGATCCTCGGGGCACATCTAATAAAGTAATGTAAGGGGAAGATCTATAAGTACTGATAGTTACTATTCGAGACGTATTAAAAACAATAAATATGCCACTTCATAAAGCACACCAATTTAAGATAATTTAGAGATAAGTACCTATGTTTTGGTTTAATTTATCGAATGCTTTGCTGAAATCAATATAGTTCAAGTATTAGACTCCAAATTAGACTCAATAGACCTTTAAATAAAATGTGTTTGGAAACTATAGAGGTTTTTATTTCAACAAAAGTATCTTTTTTGTGGAAATTGAAATTTATACAGCTAAATTTTTTGTTTTAAGTTGACAGTTAATGATTTCATACAAAAAATAGAACAATATAGGGCAAGTTTTTAGTCATTAGTGTAATTTCCTGTTAATATCTGACAAAGTGGCACCCCATTGACATACCCTCCTTTTCTCAGTGTCAAAATCGAAGCTGACAAAATGGCGACCAGGACAGCGACAGCCCAGAGGCCCAACGGGTCCACGCAGGGCAAGATATGCCAGTTCAAGCTGGTGCTGCTGGGGGAGAGCGCTGTGGGCAAGTCGAGCCTGGTCTTAAGGTTCGTCAAGGGCCAGTTCCACGAGTACCAGGAGAGTACCATCGGGGCAGCTTTTCTCACACAGACGGTCTGCCTGGACGACACCACTGTCAAGTTCGAGATTTGGGATACAGCAGGGCAGGAGAGGTACGGGAAGATTACAATAGCCCACACGTTTACCTGATTTTAATCCTTAATGAATTTACGTTTCTGTCCAGATACCACAGTTTGGCCCCCATGTACTACAGAGGGGCGCAGGCAGCTATCGTGGTGTACGACATAACAAACCAGGACACGTTTGGCAGGGCCAAGACGTGGGTGAAGGAGCTGCAGCGACAGGCCAGCCCGAACATCGTTATAGCGCTAGCTGGTAACAAGCAGGATCTGGCCAACAAGCGTATGGTGGAGTTCGAGGAGGCGCAGACCTACGCGGATGAGAACGGGTTGTTGTTTATGGAGACGTCCGCCAAGACTGCTATGAACGTTAACGATATCTTTTTAGCAATAGGTGAGTGGTAATTTTTCTTAACAAAAGTAACCCTTATATTTACATTTCAACATTTCGGTCATTGACTTAACTTAGGTGAACTACAGTCAATCCATCTGATGAGAAATGACAACGCGGACAAAAATCAAAGAAAGTTTATATTATATGCAAAAAAACATTTAGTTTTCACTAGGGAATATAAGAAAGAAAACTTAAGTGTTTCTAAAGGTCAGAGGTAGCCTCCGTGACACCCATTCAAGGTGCATCTCTGTTTACCGCGAATATTTTCATTGAAAATGATTATTCGACTTAAAAGATTGTTTCGTCGAACGGCCGAGAGTTAAAAATAAGTTAATCAAACTCCCACTCGTAACATTTCACAGTTTTCCCTTCTAATGTAGACGCTGTAATTTCTCGGGCTTGAACAATAATCCTATTAGCGCATATCCTGTCCTTTAAAGTGGTGTAATTGGTGTGTTGCTGCACTGCTTCTTTCTCTTTTTAATTGGCACTGGATGTGTACGTAAGAAGTACAAGAGGAAGTTGCCTAAAGGTCGAAGACTTCACGCCACAGGAATTGGGGAAAAAAAGACTCGATCGTAGATTAGAACAGATACATAAATTGTTTCGCCACTTCGCTCAGTGCCAGATATTAAATCATTTGCGTGTATATTTTTTTACGTCTATATTATTGCTAACAACTTTTAAGAGCAGAAGCAAATGCTTGTTAAGCTCTATTACAAAAAAATCGCTTATCCTATACATGGTTGATAAGAAATCTTTAGGCTACCGATAAGGAATTTTGAAAAAGTTGCAGTCTACCAAGTGATAATTATTTGCGCAATGCTGTAATCAGTATGTATGTAAACAAATGTATTGCATATTGATTATTAAAGGATATAGAAATTTGAAGGTAGTGCAATAAGTATGTCATAATATATAAATGACTCATAAGAGAAATATTTACTAGTAGCTTGAGTTGAATACCAGGGTAGATGGAAAAGTAGCTTTCACTAGAATTTCATTTGCATTGTAAGTGCTAAGAATTGTTTTCGAAAAATTTTTAAAGCATTTTTTTTTTTGAAGCATATACAGTATGATCCATTTCAAATGGAAACAGGCCTAGAAAAATGGTATTTGTTATCCAATTTATTTCGGGTTTTTTTTCTAAAAGATGGAGCAGTAAAAACTATTCTGGCACAAAATATTAAAATTTGATTTCTATGTTCAAGGCCTACTTCGAATTTTTTTCACTGTCAAATTTTACAAAAACTGTTTAGTAATTTTTTTTATTTCAAATCTAACAACGGCACTGGATTCAGCATCCCCTAAAATGGTTTTGTGCCAAATTTCGTAAATAAATACTTAATAATGAGGGATTTATAACAATTTTAATGTAGGCTTCATTTTATTAAATACTGTTATAGTAATTTTCTGAAAAAATGTTGGCTTTGAAAAAAAATGAGAAATTAATTTTGCTTCTAAAGGTCAGAGGTAGCCTCCATGAGGCAACAAATTTTAATATTTTGTGCCAGAATAGAGTGCTCCATCTTTTCGAAAAAACCTGAAATAAATCGGACAATAAATACCATTTTTCTAGGCATGTTTCCATTTGAAATGGGTCACACTGTACAATGTATGTGCAATAAAGAATTTGCCAATAAGCACGCACGATATGAAGCAGTGATGGCTTGTGAAAACTAAAACGGCCATATTTTTATAATGAAGCCATGGAACTCACACCATTTTTTAGAGTATGATTTCTATGCTGACAGAAAGAACTTTCATAGGGAAAAAATTCAAATGAAACTTGCGAAATAATAAAATAAGGGTTACCGACCCTGAGGTTTTGAAAAGGGTTGCACATATTTGTGCTAAATATTTATTTTCATAATCAACGAATAGATACAGGCTTTTTTAATTTTTGGCAAAATTAAATATTCTTTGTAGTTTTACCTATTTAAATTTTAATTTGATACTAATTTTCTATTTTCCGTACTTTATACTATTGTAACTTGAAGATAAACGAACATTTTCAGAATAATAAAGAAACTGCTGTTTGTATCTATCAGTTGATTATGAATAAAAAATTACTTTGTCAATATATGTGCCATCATTTTTGAGATCTCTGGGTCGGCAATCCCTATTTTAATTTTGTATTTCACAAATTTCGTTTGAATTATTTTCGTCATGAAATTTCTCTTTATGATATATGACTACTTTAATTTTTACGAAATTAAAAATCAAGCCTGAGATTTTGAAATCAAATCGTGAAATAAAACTGTAAAGAAAACTATGTTAACCAAGCCGATTCGTTATTATTACTATTGATGTAATAACATTTGGAAGAGAAGGTATTTTAAAAGTTATTAAGAAAAATCGTCCTTTAGGGGACTTGTCATTTTATTTTAACGTCCCCTGTATAAATCTGAGAGATTGCTTACATATTCTGGGATACCTGCATTTTTAAAATGTATTTTAAGACTGTTTTAAGGATATAAACAAATTCAATATATTAGATACAATATTTCAACAGCCTTAATACATTTATAAAACATTTCATATAAATTCTTTTTCGTATTTTTATATCACAACTATAAAAACAGAATTCTGGATTATTTTGTACTTCTAACAAATTTGTTAGAATTTTGCATTGAATTCAATGCAAAACTATATTTATGTTTTACTATAAATCGCTAGGATGTCTTTTGTTATTTCTAAAGAAATTTTTATAGATTTATAATCATATTCGAATATTATTTAGCATTATTTTTTACTGGCCAAATCTGTTTCAACTAAATAATAGATATTTTTTAGATATCAATGAAAAAAATGTTATAGAAAACTTACTCAAATAGATATTCCGATAAAAATCCTTTAGAAAAAATTGTTACGCACTGTGTGTCGTTTTCTAACATATGCTTGTAACATTATACTCAAATAAAGATCGGTACCATATAAGTAGTTTCTAACTCAAACCATTTTAGAGTAGAGTATAAAAAAAATATTGTTTCGAGGGACCATATTGAGAGCGCTACCTGCATCTCAGTAGGCGTTGACTTTTGTACATGGGCTGCTCGTTTTCCAAATCACACCATTGGGATCTTGGTCATCTCAAAAGATACAAATAGAAATTTGACCTATCTTTTTTTGTTTTAAAGTTATCAACAGAAACGAATAATATTTGAATTTTAGTTTTTTTATTTTTATTTTTCGTCGAATATAGATGAACTTTTCAAATTCAGACAGAACAATTTTGTAGGAAATTCAAAAAATGTAGCTGTGGCATCTACTAGATCGAAAAAAGCATGCAAACTGCTATCTTTTTTATGACCACCGTAGTATATTTTAATATTTTTTTAATACAGTGCCAATTTTTTGCCAAATGACATGGTTTGGTTCTTTGTTTTTGTCAAAATGCTAAATTATCCACTTTTGCAAAGAGTGCTTTGACAACAAAACATTCTATTACTTCAAATGAAATTTTGACAGCTCATCTCAATTTTTATCGACTGTCAAAGTTTATATAAATAAAAATACATTTTGCCGTGAAGAAGAGGGAGATGTGCTTCAAACTCATTGATTAAATTCATTTTAGAATACCTGGCTTCGTCTAAAGTGACAATTGTAGCTTTAATTATCAGAATTTTGGGATTGTCAAAAATTTAATTGAACTGTCAAAATTTCAAGTTCAAGTAGTATTTAGATGTTTTGTTTTCAGAGCAGTCTTTGCAAATATGGATAATTTAGTATTTTAATGAAAACAAAAAGTAATCTGTATCACTGCAATCAGAAAAATACACGGATAAGAAAAATTATATAAATTTTGTATAATCAAATGTTAAATGTTATATAAAGACTAAAAAATAAGGTCAAATATTCTTGTCCCCATGTACGGAATTTTTTTATGCCTGTAATTTAAATTCCGTTGCGTTGCAGCTAAGAAGCTTCCCAAGAACGAACAAACGGCCGGCCAGGGGGGCAGCGGACAGGGAAGAAGGCTGGCGGAGGGTGACACGGGCGCCAAAGCCGCGGGTAACTGCTGCAAGTGATGGTCCGCACCTGCCGGACAAGTGTTAATTCTTCAACAGAGAGGACTGGACTGTGCTGCAGCACTCTAGTGATATATAAGTGTAATACAGGTCCTTCTTTAATAAAAAAAAAAAACAAATCAACTCTGTACACTGTCATATATTCTAACGGGAAAAAAAAATCTATTGTGGAACGCGTTTTAAATGATTTCGATGCCCGCGTGGCGTTTAAATTTGTGATAAATGTACCTATTTTAATTATTTTTTTTTTATGTGCGCATATCGATATCTGACAGTGTCGGACGGTGAAAGCGGTGGTTTAGACTGATCGTACGTCTTCAATAATAGATGTTTCACACCTCGTTTTGGTTTGAGTCACACTTAAAAAGTGCAATTATCGTCTGTCGGTCCCACTTTTCCCCAGTACCGTCAGTCTAAAACACGTAACTTCCGATTTATACCTGCCCGATCGAGAGCGGGTGTAAATCGCGAGCCTTTACCCACTTTACATGTAATTTTATTAGTGTAATTTTTCCGTTAAAAGTACGTTTCACAACAACTCCCCCCTTCCCACCTTTTCCGTTTTTAAATTATGCAACTTTTTTGTATACTGTTTTGGAACATACTTTTCACCCGTACGATGCATGACTGAGGTTTCGTTATCGTAAGTTTATTTTTTTTATATATAATAAAAGTATATATAAAAGGCGTAGCTGTTCATAATTTTTAAGAGTCGTCATGTGTCAGCGCCTGGGCGCGTGGCGTCGGACCTCCGAACTAGGCGTTCGGAGCTCCGGCGCCCCCCGACGGCGTAAATCTTACAATCCATATAATTTAGTAGGTGTACAAGTAGTGAGGTGGTTGTACAGAATTTTAAACGAGAGATACTAATTGATTTCCGATGGCGGCGGCCCGTCGCACGTGTCGAGTCGGGCGTTTGTCGACGGGCGACTCGGGGACGTGCGACGGGCACTGCCTTTGATTTTAAGTGGATGTTCGGATAACGTTGAGTATCATTGTATTATATTTGAATATAAATATTAAATTTATTATTTTATTTGCTTGCTTATATATGGTTATAATTATTCTGTATGCACAGAATCAGATTGTACAGGAAAATAAAAACATACTCAATAAAGTTATTATGATACGTGGTGGTCGGTTTTTTACTACCTCTCTCTGGCGGCTTCGCAGCGTACGGGGCAGATCGATTTTTGAGGAAATCGAGAAGTATACGGACGTCGAAGAAGTTCTCGGTGTTTTCCAACAGAACTGCATGCGAAGATGGTAACGCAGCTATAAACAAGTGCAAACTACTTTTAAATCTTCGTCATGTCGAATGTCGTGCCAAAAAAAAGAGTGTGGGGAATTTTATTGCACTAGTTTGCAGTTGAAGCGCACAGAAGACTTACGACGACCATGCCTAGTCGCACCGAAGCAGTTTGATGAAGAATCGGTGGCAGTACTTCATGAATTCTCACTTCAGGTGCTAGCTGGATCATTAGGAGTTGATCGTACAATAGTTTCGACACGTTTGAAAGCAACGATATTGGGTGCCCTACGAGTTGAAGTCGAGAAACGTCGAACGGCGCCTTTGCTTGTGTGAACACCTGCTTAAATGGCGGAAAAGTTTTTTTGCATCGTATCGTTACTGGCAATGAAAAACGGATACGCTACGATAATCCTAAGCGTAGAAAATCTTGGATCAAGCCCGACCAAGTGGCAACATTGTCGGCAAGGCTGAATATCCATGGTTCTAAGCTTCTGCTCTGTATTTGGTGGGATCAGCTGGGTGTAGTTTATTATGAGCCTCTCAAACCGAATGAAACCATCACGGGAGATCGCTATGGACTACGAACCGAGAAAGCGAGATCTCGCTCGTTTTATTTCGAATTCGCTTCTTTTCTTTTTTTTTCAAATCTCGTTCTAGTATCCTTCACAAGGATCTTTTTGTACGGAAAATCAGTAGAGGAGTCTGATTTTCGATTTACATACTTAAAAGTTTGGTTACTTTGGTATAGATTGCGATAGGCAACCAGCAATACATTTTTATAGATTTTATTACACAGTTTGTCCAAATATGAATGAATGCATAAATAACAGACTTTCCTCCATTCCAATGCAGATTTTCTATAAAATGGACTTGGTTTGAAACTCGAAATACTTTTTGGTGTAAAGAAATTTGTAATTTATGATGCCGCTTGTTCAAAATTACAAATTTCTTTACAACAAAAAGTAAGTTGAGTTTCAAACTAAGTCCATTTTATAAAAAATCTGCGTTAAAATGGAGGAGTCTGTTATTCGTGCATTAATTCATATTTGGACAAACTGTGTATTAAAATCTATAAAAATGTATTGCTGGTTGCCTATTTGCTATAAAGTCCTTAACATTCATGAAATATGTTGAAACAAGTTTTTTCCAAAATCTAGAAAGAATTTTGTTCAAGGTCCTTTATCAATCAATCAACGACATTTTTAACTAAACAAAGCCTTTTTGTTTCTGACACTATAGTATCAATTTTTCTTTGAAAATTCCCAAAAATTGCCTTTTTTTTCAACCTCTAAAGTGGCATTACCCCTTAACATTACTTTTAAAGCATTTTTAAACGATTTGCAATGATAAATTTCAAAATTTTGGGAAATAGCATCATTTCCAGCATTTCTTTTTAATAAATGTCAAATTTGATAGATGCTTTTATGCAAGTCATAATTACTTTGCAATTTTTTTTTAACTAATTCAAGACTAATAATAATCCACCAATAAACACTGAAGAATTGAACTTATTTACTTTGATATAGATGGCGATAGGCAACCAACAATACATTTTTATAGATTTTATTACACTGTCTAAATATGAATTAATGCACAAATAACAGACTCCCCCATTTTAACGCAGATTTTCTATAAAATGGACTTGGTTTGAAACTCAAATTACTTTTTGGTGTAAAGAAATTTGTAATATATGATGCTGCTTGTTCAAAAGCGGCAAATTACAAATTTCTTTACAACAAAAGGTAAATTGAATTTCAAACTAAGCCCATTTTATAGAAAATCTGCATTAAAATAGGGGAAAGTCTATTATTTGTGCATAATTCATATTAAGATAAACTATGTAATAAAATCTATAAACCTGTATTGCTGGTTGCCTATTTGCTATAAAGTCCTCTTAACATTCACGAAATATGCTGAAACAAGTTTCTTCCAAAATCTAGAAAGAATTTTGTTCAAGGTCCTTTATCAATCTATCAAGACATTTTTAACTATATAAAGCTTTTTTTTTCTGACACTATATCTGGTATTAAGTTTTCTTTGAAAATTCCCAAAAATCACCTTTTTTTCCAATCTCTAGAGTAGCGTTACTCCTTATCATTATTTTTAAAGCATTTTTAAACGATTTGCAACGATAAATTTCAAAATTTTGAGAAATAGCATCATTTCCAGCATTTTTTAAAAATAAATGTCAAATTTGATAGATGCTTTTTTAGTTAAGTCACATTTGCAATTTTTTTTAACTAAGTAAAAACTAATAATAATCAACCAATAAACACTGAAGAATTGAACTTATTTACTTTGGTATAGATGGCGATAGACAACCATCAATACATTTTTATAGATTTTATTACACAGTTTGTCTAAATATGAATTAATGCACAAATAACATACTTTCCCCCATTTTATCGCAGATTTTCTATAAAATTAACTTGGTTTGAAACTCAAATTACTTTTTGGTGTAAAGAAATTTGTAATTTACGACGCCGCTTCTTCAAAAGCAGCAAATTACAAATTTCTTTACGCCGAAAAGTAATTTGAGTTTCAAACTAACTCCATAATATAGAAAAACTGCGATATAATGGAGGAAAGTCCGTTATTTGTGCATTAATTCATATTTAAACAATCTGTGTAATAACTTAATTGGATCGCCTCAGAGAAATAGAGAGGGTTGCCTAACCTGCCTTAGATACGACTGACAGTCAGGTCGGAATTGAAGAGTTGAATTTTTTATTTCGTAAGAAGTTGCAGGGTCCCTTTAGACAAAAAAAAAATTATCATTTGGGATCCGACACTAGCGTATGGCAGCTTTTCTTCAGAGAGCATTAGAGTCGTGGATTGTAATAACTTTCTGGTACCATTGAGGTAGGTTGTACTGGGCGCCACGTAACTTCACAAGAAATGTGTTGAGTACTCTCGATTTTGCCAAGTTACGAAACTCAAAATCATGAAACAAAGATACATAAACAACACAAAGTAATGGTAGAGCGAATGAAATAAAAAAATTTAAGTAGTGAGAGAGACTTCTGGATATAGAGACACATCGACGGTACAAAAGTATAAGCACTAAAATGGTGGTTTTAATCCCATGAAAATGGAAAACCGTAAAATTAATCATGATCCACCTATTGCTTTTGCTTTTCACTTCACCAAAATTCGTCCATCTCTACCAGCTAGATGTTATTTTCTGAGGAGACCTAGAGGACACTTTGTGGATCTCATTTCAACGATTTTTAGAAGTGGTGTGTTGGTTGTCTATCGTATCGAATACTTAAGACAGCAACCAGGAATCAAATCAATTTTTTTTCATAATAAAGTAAATCCTCAAAAAAAAACAAAATAATGAAAATACATTTAGAAAAACGCTTTTACTGCAAAAACATTGCAAAATTTCAGTGTTTGAACATTGTATATAAAATTTTAACACCCCAAATTACAAAATGTAAACATTTTTCATATGAGTATACAGGGTGCACCACTGAAAACAACCCAAACATGTTTTTCCTGCAATTTTTAAGATATGACAATCGAGATATCAATTTGTGGCCTTCTAAATCAACTGCCTGGAAGAGAAAATTAGACAGTTTGAAGGCCTTCAAAAAAATCTACGAATTAGCACTTCAATGGTTGTTATATCTTAAAAGTTATATAAAATACAGCTTTAGCAAGTTTTAAGTGAATTTCGATAATTTACTCGTTTCTAAAGTCTGTTAAAAAAATACACTATGTATTCTGTGACTATGTAGATAGGTACGAATAAGATACATAGTTTTTAAGTAGTTTCCCCAAAAGTGACGTTCCATTCAATATTACCTTACCTTTAAAGTGGCGCACAATATTGGTAAAAGTAAGACAAAATACATACCTACTTATTAAAAGATAAAAAATATGATGTATTTCAGCTTATCCATCCGCAAAACAAAGGTCTCTGGAGCATGCGAGCTGTTGATTGGTTGATAGAAGTCACGTGTTATGTGACTTGCAAGTGTTTTAAATTATACGTCTAATGTGGAACAGCCTTATCAACTCTATTGATATTAGTGAAATAGGTCGCAAAAATATTTGCACAAGATTCCTTCTTATTGGTTAGGGCATATTAAAATAAAGTTTAATGATGTAAAAAAACTATAAAGTGGTAAACAACAAATACGTACAGTGTACAGCCTTCCTCGAGCGTCATTTCTAAATTTAGCTACTAATAAAAAAAATTGTCGCAATAATTGAAGTGTTCGTTTTCCTTTCATGTGTTATTTTGTGGCTATTATTTTAGATAGTATTAGGTGCGTTTTTGACTTAATGTTTGATGTACCTTCTTAAGCTACGCGTTTAAAAATATTACATTATATTAAAAAGACAGGCTTTAAAATTTTCTCCTCGTTTTAAAAGTGACACGATTTAGAAACATCTTTTTCAAATTTTATACATACAATCCTGTCAAAATCTCAAAAACATGTGATAGTACTGGCTGCATCTGCCCAAATGCAGTTAACAGTTAACTGCACGCACAGAAAGGGGGCGAGTTATTTTCGGCATGCAACTCGTGCACCAGCCGACAAAAGCAAAACACATCACCGCAAGCCGCGTATTAGTCAAGATAGTGGGGAATCCGCGGAAGGCCATGAAGCACGTCAAAATATGACAAGTTTTACTTATACACACCTTTACGAAAACTGATTCCGTATTTTTACATAAATTTTACGTTTTTATGTGTTTGTAACCGCTATGTGCACCACGATAAACAGCTCCAGGGGTAGGCCCTTCGGTCTGGACGGCTGCCAGGTTCGAGTTGGCCAGGGGATATGTGGCGAAACGAGGACGTTGGAGATTATCAACGAGTTCAAGAGGCTCTACGAGGAAAAGATGCACGAAATTGACACCGCCGGAGGTGGCGACTGTTTACAGGTATGTCTCCGCATTCTGCTTGTGCTTTTTGATGCAGAAGAAATGGGTAACAAATGCGGAGGTGTGGTTCTAATTTGACATCCGCAGTCCGCGGCGCGTCCCGATTCTCGCGATAGACAAGGCCGCGGGAATTTTGAAACCGTTTATGTATAGTGTGTGCCAACCAAAGCTTTAGTTGTGGGATATTAGAAGTAGAAGTGTTATTTTAGAACTAGTCTTTTTCCTGTGTTTTTTTTTCGATGTAAGCACTATAGACCAAGCAAATTAAATTTTTACTCGAAAAAAGTCCTATCCGCTAGATTATTGTAAAATTGTCTAAAGGAACATAATACAAGACATCTCTCGTCCCGTGAGTCAAAAACTTTTATTAGCTAACTTTTCTATTTAAACAAATAAGTGAGGAAAACAGTTTTTTCACTTTGCAGGGAAAACCATCAATTTTAGCGAAAAGTGACTC